CCCCCAATAATGTTTCACACTGAATTACCTTCAATTCCTAACAACCTGGCTTCCTTGAGCATCGTTATATCTACATGACACCTAGCAGACTTTTTTTTTCCAGTTGAGATACTTCTACTTTACAGTTCTCCATTAGTAAGGAAGAAATCAATCAGACTTGCAGAATTGCCTCTGCCCTTCCCAAGGAGGTCTAAGCTTCTCTCAGGAACCATAGTAAATATTTATTTTTCTTGCTATTCTCTTATCTTGTTGCACTAAAAATGTACTGTGGTTATTGAGTCTCCTCCCTGCCCTTTGCCTCAGTTCTTGGGGGAAAAGTTTTATCCATAATATTTGACCTTTGCCCCAGGTGATTTACAAAAATGGGTCTGTATATGATTGTTTGAAAGTAATATGTTTGATTGTAAATTTAATAAATGAAATGCAATTTATACTAGTTTTCTTCAGAAATAATGGAAGATATTATGTTTGCCCAAGACTTCCTGAATTAGAAATACTTAATAAGTGTTTCAAGGTTACTGACTGAATTTAATTTTGGGCAAATTACCTAACTTCATTGAAGTTCAATTTTCCCCTAGGCAATTATACAATATTATATATCAAAATTATCAATAAGATGCTCTCCTGAACTAAAATAGTTTAGAAGCTTATGATAAAATGAACAGCTTTAGAGTCTAATCTGCTTAGAAAAAGCCTTTATCCAGAATAAATAGAGCCAGGAAAACCAACACATTGACTATTACCTAGCTCTAGTAGGATAGGTTGGAAGAACCATTTGGATATGGGAAAGAGAACCAGGGAAGTCTTTATTTGGGGTTTAAAGCCAGATAGTCTGTTTGTGAAAATGTGCACACACATTTGGGTATGTGTATCCCAAAATCAGGAGTGGGCTAGAATTTTTGCTTTTCTTGTGAATGCAAAACTATGTTTCGCAGCTGAAAAAAGTTTAATGCTTCCATTGTACAAAAGTAAGTCGAATATTTAAACTCAAATATCATGAGAGAGATTCAGAAACAAATTTATTTACAGAACTTCTTTAAATATTTTGGCTCCATTTTAGACCCAAGAAGTTATTAAGGGAGAAAGAAAGCAGAATTTAATTAAACATAACCTAAGTGTTGAGATTAGATAAAGTTAGTAACAAAAACCATGAAGGATGACGCATATTTTGACCCAAAGGTTACCATAACATAGAAGATAATAGGGTTTTTTGTTTGTTTGTTTGGGTTTTTAAAATTTGTTTATTTATTTATTTTTGAGACATCAAGTGGTAAAGAATTGGCAATTGGGACTTAATTGTGAATTCCAAGTAGGGAATGAATTGAGGGAGATATTTATGTTTTTAGGGTTGCTGCTGAGTAGAGGGTCCAGGTAGAAAGCTAGATTGACAAAGTGAAAGCCTGTTTTCTTTGCAACTCAGAAAATTGTTTTGGAAGTTTGAAAAAATAATCTATGAGAGTAATGTGGAAAATAATCTAATGCATGATAGCTCATTTGTAATCATTCCTTTTCCCTCACTTTCTTTTCCAATGTTTTCCAGTAATTTAGCTGCAAGACTGGGACAAAATCCTAGATTTCTGCTTACCATCCCAGAGTTCTTTGTTAATGGACTGCTGATCTATAAACAAAGATGAAACACAGGAATTTTAAAGCAAATATTCACAACTTATCCTAGAATTGCTTACAAGCTGACAGCTATCCAATTTATTTTCAGTTTATATTTAAAATGAATCATATGTTCCAAAATGACTGACAGAAAAAGCTTTGTTTCTGAAGCCAATTCATTTCCATCATTTTTGGACACCATTCAGAGCTCTAACAGACTTTTGTGATGTTTAAAAGAATTCATCCAGGACAACAACAAATGCTAATTATCATAAAAAACAAATAGCTCCCAATAACATGATTTTAAGAAGTTCTCCTAGTCCAGAAATATATTTCATCTAACATCCATCTGTTAGGGTGTAGGAGCAAGCAGTGGATGAAATTATCATGTATCAAACTGGACAATACAACAAAGTATAGATAAAAAAAATAGGGGATAGCATATGTAATAAGTAAATCTGGTAAAGGGGACATGCAAATAAAAATGGCTCATGTCTCTCCTTGAGTAAGCAACTGATGCATGAATCCACAGTCAAGTCAAGGCTAGTTATCTTGACTAGCATGATTATAGGATCCACTTTCAGTCCACAATCCTTGTTATAATTGCACTTTTTCCCACAACTTCAAATTGTAATCTACTCTAATTGAGGAATTCACATTAAAACAAAAAAACAAAAATGGATGTACTGGTGATAATTTAAGATATCAAATTACATGGAGCAAAAAATTATATACTCAGGAATGCATTTCAAAAAAGATTTTACTGTTTACCCACTAGTCACTTATATAAAACAATGATGACCAAGTTCTCGAAAGTAAAAATTTAAACTTCAAAAAGATAAAAAAATTCATTTATTAATGTAATTTACTAATTAATAATATTGTAAGATTGTGAATAATCAAATGTCCATAAATGTGTCTCGGAAGGACAAAGGTGGGGCCTTTGTCCCCTCTACTGGCATATGATCACCATTATACAACCAATTCTCACCAGCAGTTGCCTAATCAATACATGTTGACTTAAATGTTGCATAAAATAGAATATCCATAATCAATAATTATTTAATCTTTAGGCTTTAAGATATGCTTATTCTGTAAATTTATATTTTCTTTAGTATCAATATATATTATGTACAAATCAATTAATTCTTAAATGTCTATGTAACTTTCAAAATAATAAAATGATAAAGTATCTTGTTTTAGGGAAAGTAGGTGAATATTGAGACAAGGTTTCACTCTGAATCACAGACTAGCCTTGAACTTGCTATGTAGACTAGGTTGACCCCCAAGTAGTAGTAACCTTGCCAATGTACATGCTTGAATATAGCAAAGAGACATTACCATTCCCAGGTATAAAGCTTTTAAAAAGGAATTTGAAATATCTTTAATAAGCTTAATTTGCAATCAAGGTCTCCAAAAGTGTATAAATGTAATTGGCTCTGTGTGTGTGTGCGTGTGTGTGTGTGTGTGTGTGTGTATGTATGTCTGAGTGTGTGTATTCATTTATTTAAATTTGTACTAGTGATAGAAATATTTAGAATATTATCTATAGTTTAGAAAAAAACATTGCATGGAATATTTTCTGTACTAATTGTGATATGAACTGATTACAAATCCTATTGTTTCTATGTTTATTCCATCACTATGTGCATACATGATTGAAGATTTTCACATACTATAGTGAAGAAATATGGTATGTCTATTCATACTTCAATCTTTTGTTTATTTCTTTCTAAATGATGTGAAAATAATAAATACAAGATAGAGCATGCAATCATATATGTATATATGTATATATAAGTGGGCATATATGTAAAAGTAAGTATGTATGCTGTTTAGACAACATATGTTCAAATTTCATTAAGAGAGAATGGAGATATGACCAGATCCATGTTATATATTTGTATATATGGCCATCTATTCACATAAATACATTAATCTATTGGATTAATTTGTATCTGAAGATTCCCTGGGTATTACACATTATGCAAACTCAAGAAATCTGTTAAGGCCCAGCTTTCTAGGGGGACTTTCCCAATTATATAAAGGAATTGATTTGGGGGGAACAATCCTTGAAAAGTCTAATTTAAGTTCAAAGACCCATTAAAAATACTTGTGATTTTAAAGATTTATTGATAAATGTAAAAGCTGAATTTATAAAAATATTTTTATATTTTTCACCAATATAAAGATTATTAGCTTCTATTGAGGGCAGCACTTCCTTAGTTCAGTAGAAATATATTTAAAACTATTTTCATTGTTTGCACAAGCTTGAAACTCTTTGTTCTCTTAGCAGAGTTTCTATCTTTTCATTTGCATTGATAATTTCATTATAAAAGGGAAAATTTCTACACAAAGTTTTGTTCATTGCCAGCATACAAAGTGAGTGGGAACAAAGCATGTTCCTGCCATATTTGGAGAGAATTTAAATTCAAATGAATTTCAATCTCAATGTAAATTTGAAAGAATAGTGAAAAGGACTAAAATAAAATGTTTTGCATTCTAATTTAAAACAATATTTAGAATACTGAAAAACATCCTTAAATGAAATCAATTACCATGATAAACATAATATTTACCTCACCAAAATAACTGTCAGCGGAAAACTACAAGTTTTATTTTACTGTCTACTTTCTTATATTTCTGAGACATGTTTAAAATTAATAATTCATGATAACATTCAACCACAATTAACAATCATTAAAACAATTCAATATAGACAACCACTGTGGATCAAACATTTATTAAGATAGTCTAAGGCAGTGAAATGCATTTCATTTCATTTCATTTCATTCAATTTTATTTCTAAGTCTATATTTTAAAGTTTCTAAGTGGTATCTATCTACACAAAAGTAGTTCCCCAAAGGTTGAATATTTAATGCTGTTATCTGTTCAATGTTCTAGAAAACAATGTTTGGATTTCAGCATACTACTTAAACCTGTGGATTTTATTACTTGCTATATACATATATCATTTGCATAAAACAAAAGTCTATGTCAAAATTGTAAATTTCTTGATGTTTCCTGACAGTCATGAGACTTTGCTGTAGAAAACCACTCTTTAGCAAGATTATTTAAATATAATAACATGATATTCCTATTATCTCTATCTTAATGCTTGGTTCAATCTTCTGATGCTTATTTTATACATATAGAGAAATGTATGTGATTAGGCTGTTATTTTTCTGGATGTATGAAACAAGTGTTGATACTTGGCTCCAAATCTCTTTCAGTCTCTTCACATAGTAATAATACTAAAAAAACAACAGTAATAACTAATAAACAACAACATAATTAAACTAATAAAAGAAAACAAACCACGAAAGAACAGAAATAACTTGGAATGTTCTCGAGAAAATTGTGTAGGAGTCAGCCACAGAGGCTGCTGCTCTTACCAGTGCTGTCGTCGTACACAACTGTGACAGTTTTCCACTTAAAAAATTGCACCAAATCCAAGATGGCACGGCTGAGGGAAGAGAAGTCTGGGTAGAGACTGACATAGAAGGAATCCTTGTTGTCTGACACCTGGTGCTTCCAGCGGGTCTGTATGTGAGGAACCCCCAGAGCATTGCAGATGGACTGCACAGCATTTGCTGATGAACTGTGTGAAGGACCGAAGATAGCAGCCACCCCAAGAGACAGCTGATCACAAGCTGAAAGGAAAAAAGGCAGTCTGTCAATAAAGAGAGGGAAGGAGGGCATGCGTTGCTACTAAATCCCATACATGTCTTGCTGGTAAAGATTCCATCTCAAAAATATTAACCCAGAATTGCTCTTGTCTAAAGGAAATTCAGGGACAAAGAGTAGAGCAGAGACTGAAGGAAAGGCCATCCAGAGACTGCCCCACCTAGTGATCCATCTCGTCTGCAGACACCAAACCCAGACACTATTGCTGATACAAAGAAGGAGATATTGACAGGAACCTGGTACAGCTGACCCCTGAGAAACTGCCAGAGCCTAACCAATACAGATGTGGATGCTCGAAGCCTGACTGAGCATGGGGACCCCAATGGAGGAAGGATTGAAGGAAGTGAAGGGGGTTACAACACCATAGGAAGAATATCAACCAACCAGATCCCCCTACCCAGAGCTTCCAGGAACTAAATCAACAACCAAACAGTACCCATTAATGGGTCCATGGCTCTAGCTGTTTATGTAGCAGAAGACTACCTTATCTGGCTTCAATGGGAGGGATAGCCCTTGGTCCTGTGGAGGCTAGATGCCCCAACGTAGGGGAATACTAGGGCTGTGAGGCGGGAGTGGGTGGGGGTGGGAGAATCACTGTCATAGAAGGAGGAGGATGGGATAGTGGGGTTTGTGGAGGGGAAGCCAGGAAGGGGGATAATATTTGAAATGTAAATAAAATAACCAATAAAAATAGATAAATAAAAGACTTTTCTTCTTTAGTAAAGTCTGCTTTTCTCCATTCCCTTTGCCCCCTCTGAACCCTATCCCATGTTCCTCTTCTGTCGCTTGCTTTCAAATGCATGACCTCTTTTTCTTTAATTATTGGTCTGTATATTTGTATATATTCCTAAATACATAAATAAAACCTGCTTAGTCTATAGAATGTTACTTGTATGCATGTTTGCTAGGCTGACCATTTATATAGAATAACCAGTTGTGATCTACCATGGGGAAGAAGTTTCTTCTCGTTCAGCTTCCCTAAGTTGACTATGGTTGCGTCATTATGTACTAAATACATTCAGTTTATTACAAGAAAGTTAATTCAGCCAATTTTCTGGGAACAAAATTTCAGATAATTCTATAAATAATGTCAAGAATTACATTGGGTGGGAGAATGAAAAAAAATTAAATAATTTTTAGCATAAAATATGTAATGCATGAATACCTAAACATAGACATTTAAAATTAGATAAGAATTTAGTAGCTAGAAACACTTGCTATGTTTCCTTTAAGAATTCAATATGATGTAAGAAAAGTAGTTCTGAATATACTGATTGTTACTTTCTAAATAATAATCAGAATTCTAAATAAGTATACAGCCAATTCTGAAATCTCACACAAAATGGGGTTTTCATTCATATATTTTGAAACTGATGTCTTGCCTGAAAAATCAAAAGACAAGAAAAGATGCAAATATCTGGAATATACTGTGTTTTAAATAACGCATATATGTCTTTTTTTCATTTGTTTGTTTGTGTATGCATAGGATTTTCTGTGCTAACCAGATTGTCCTTATCTTAATTTCAGAGTTATGCAGGACAATAGTCTTGTGACACTTGCTTAGTTAAACAGTACTCACTTAATATACTGTATGAATCAATTAATAACTCAATTCTAAGACATCAAAGCATTCATTGGTAAAGCAAAGTATATGTATATTTTCTGGGCTGACCATTTGATATGAAATAACCAACTGATATGACCTTCCTGGGGGAAATCTGTTTATCCCACTCTCAGCTTATAAAAATAAAAATATTAGACCAATTTAAAGAAGAACCATTACCAAAACATGTACTATGCACACTGTAGTATCAATAGTGACTGTGTTTACATAGTGCTATATAGGTGATCTTTTTGTACATATGTAGATTTTATTGTCGGAGGGCAGATCCAAACTTTGGCATAGTTTTTTCTTAGTTGACTATAGCTAGGTCAATTTCTAGGATCAAGGTCTCATGAACTTATGACTAAATATGTTCAGTTTATTACAAAATAGTTAATTCAGCCAATACAGCTTATATGAAATAACTAAAAATAAAGCATTGGAAAATACTCTAAAATTTAACATCTTGCCATATAAAATTATTTAAATTATTTTTAAATGTCTCAGTTGATTACTATTTTAAAGTTCATCTTTACTATCATGATGATTTTGGACATTGGTAGAGACTCTGTAAGATTAAAAGTATTGTTTGGTATCTCAGTTTCTTTGCTTAATTCTTCATGTCATAAGTAATAATAACTCAATAAACAGAAATTATAGCTTTTCCCCCTTATACATATCACAAAGAAAGTTGCTTTTTTGAGTTTTTCTACCTCTAGGCTAGACACCTAAAGGCTTTAATAGATGCTTAATTGGGAAATTGTCTTCTAAACCAGAAGACTTTATTGCCTAAGGATTTTGCTAGGGCATCAGTCAATAGTATTCTGTTTTTCTGTCAGGAAAAGTTTAATCTATATTTCTACACTGAACATTTGAAGTCATCATTAAGAAATCTATTAATATTTTATCTATATTTTCCTCTCTCCTTATGTTTCACTCTGAATGTTTTTTATTAGCATCAGAGTTTCTTCTTTCCTAATGGAAATATCATGAGCTATATTACTAATCAAACGCACGTCTTGAATTTAATGACTTAGTTTGCATTTGTTGTGATAAACAGAACATTTTACAGTCAACTCTAACCTTTTCCCTCCAGGCTTGTAAACCTTTAATCACCATGACATGGATCTGAAATGTGGAAACTAATTGATATTCTCAAAAATATGAATTCAAAGGGCAAGCAGAATATGACTTTGAGAAACACAGATTAGCATCTGGGGAAAATAAAGTCTTCTATCCTGAGAAGCATTGTACCTTATCAACAGCCATTAATATTAATAAGCTTGGAAAACAACTTCCTCAAAGTAAATCTACAAATAATTGTATATGTTTCCATCAATATCAGGTGACTAGTAAAACAATATTAGCATCACAGAAAGGTAAATATTGTTTTAAAAATATGATGATAACAAATGCTGTGTTAGTCTACTCTTAAGTGAATCTACAGTACAGAAAGCAATGTCTACTACATAAATGCTAACTATGCCCTCCTACGATAGAATCTACATATATACAAAAAGATCACCTATATAGCACTATGTAAACATAGTCACTATTGATACTACTGTGTGCATAATACATGCCTGGGAAATGGTTCTTCTTTAGATTGGCTTAATGTTATTATTTCACATATATTGGTCTTTTGTCAGTGCATGTGTCTGTGTACCATGTCTATACAGTGTCCTTACAAGCCAGAAATGTGACTCAGAATGCCCTGGAACTAGAGTTACAGATAATTATTCATTGTCATATGGCTGCTAAGAATTTAACTTGAGTCCACTGAACAAACAGCCAATTCTTTTGTCATTTATTTTAGTTAATTGGTTAAAACTTTAATAACAATGAAAGTAGAACAATGTGGAAAAACAATTTGTCTACCACAAATTTAATTTCACTTTAAATTGGATTTGTTTAAAGAAAAGCTAATGAAAATTTATAAAATCAACATTTTTTTTCTAATAAAATGTATGTAGATTAAAGACAATTTCACGTAAATGTCCTTTATAATTTATCAACAACATAAGGGAATCAAGAACTTTCTCAAGTACAGCTAGGTATCTAAAATCTAGAAATCATACTATATAGTTATTAATCACCTTTCTTAGATGCTTCAAAACTGTCATAGAGATTGATCTTCTGAGTATCATAAGTTAAAGTAGTATTGGGTAGCAGAGTCCTGTTTCTGTTGATGGTGTTCACAGCAAATCTGAATGCAAGTTCTTCAGCTCCCATGGGGCCAGATTCCACATATTCAAATATACCACCTAGAAAAGCAAGAGAACAATTATAGCGGTGTTAAAATACAGTTAAAATGTTGTAAATATTATGTGTATAAATAAGAGAGACACACACAGAGGGAAAGAGAGAGAGGGAGAAAGAAGAGGGATGTGTTACATAATAATATTTGTACTTACTTTTTCTATAAAACTTTAGTTATAAGAAACTATAACAAAAACTTTGGAATTTTTGCCAAATTTAATTCTGTTTAAGGGTACTTTTTCCTTTATATTTTATGATTACTTATTTTAAGACGAAACACAAACCACAAAATTATCTGCTCATATTTTATATACTAACACAGAATTTTCAATACTGAATAACGCCAAACTGTAATGCTTACTATTCAGAAGACTGAGTTACATTTGTCTTCCTTAAGTAAAACATCACAAATCTATTTACAATGACAATATATCCATAATGATACAATAGTGATAGTTACATCTTGCCATAGTCAACAAATATAAAATTAGACTTATGGTCCACTTTACAGGAGATAATTCATGATAGATACTATAAACCTAGCCAACTTTCTGTGGCTAGAGAGGTCATAGTCCCAAAAGGCAAACCTTGTATTGCTTATCTTTCTAAGGAAATATAATTTTAACTGTATTATAAATAGTTATGCTTGCATACAAAGATAACTATAACTCTCACTCCCTCCCACCCACCCCGCCAAATTTTTTGTGTAGCAGACAGAGGCTACTAAATAGCACAATATGTGTCCAAAATACAAAGTGTATCTGACTGTTTACAACCCAGTTAGTATATTCACAATACAACACTCACACCTAACTCAGGGAACATTTCAGAAGAAGGTGTAGAAAAATTTTAAGAGGCAAGGGAGCAGAATGCTCACTACCAAATAGTATCTACTAGACTTGACAGGCATCCTGGACCCATGACATTGCAACAACATGATGGCCGAAATCAGACATGCATAATGACAATACCAATTGACATGCCAATTTTGTTGGTGAAATTTTATAAGATCTCTCCCCTAGGTGAATAATTACAGGTAGTCAATAGCTGCTGAAGAAGGGAAAGACAGTTTTCACCAGGATTAAGATCCTGAGATAGGCTATTCAATTCAAAGCATACTCATATGCAGAATTGTTAAAAAATATAATAAGTATTAACATAAATAAAAATGTACCAGAACATGTAAAATTCAGATTTTGTCATTTTTCCTAAATAAAATTTGAACAAAGTAGAATTGCACTTTAATTTTACTCTATGTTCTATTTCAGAAGACATAACAAACATGAACGCTGCAGTTTCAAAACAAAGCTCCTCTAGTATCTGACTTAATGCACTGTAAGTAATTTTGTGTGATTTATAAATGTAGACCCTCAATCTGTTACTCTGCATAAGTAGATTTCCCCACCCCGCAAGCCCACTTCTTCATCCTTGCCCCTGCCTTCCTCTTCTCTGGCACCATTAACATTTCCTTATATGGAATTAGATGTTCGACTGTAATAGAATCTTTTCCTTATTGTTGGCATAGTGAATGGAATAAAAGAGGAAATACCTACACATGAACTCTTCCCAACCTTTGTCACTGAGAAACATGTGCTTTAAACATGAAGAATATTTCTCTTTGTCTCTTTAAATCTACACTATATACTTTCACCACAATCATACACAAATCAAACTTCCCTGAAGGAATCAGTTCAGAGTCGACCACTCGTATCCTCCTTACTGGAAAGATGGAACAGTCTACTTATTCTAAAATAGGACACAAATATGGAATTTTTGTTTGAAATACTGAAATGACCAATATTTGATGACAGTGACTTCAAACTCTTTATCCTTACTTCTCCTTATAAATAATCCAGATATAATATTATTCTCATATATTATCACTTTTTAAATATTTATAGAAATATTTTAAAATATTTGGAATAAGTCATTTTCTACCTTAAGTAAATAAAATAAATAACTAATTTTATTGACTTAATCTCAGATTCTAATACTTATATATTAAAAAAACAAAGCATACACTCAAAATTTTTTCTTGAAAAGGCACCCAACATCATTAACTGTATAAAAAATATAAATAACTCACCACTCTAAGATGTTCAAGTTTTAAAAGGAAGGATCCTACCCCAAAATATGTTATTAAAACATGGAAGAAAATTCAGATTGGTAGCACAAATCCAGGAGTTTATGTACAAGATGAGATTAAATTTGACTTATTTAAGCATTGATAAAGTTACCTTATAACAGACTAACATCATAATAGAAAAATAATCACTATAATAGATGTTGTAAAAGTACTTGAAAACTGTGCTTGTTAATTTTAGAAAATTAGAAGGAGAAGAGAAATAGTGATGTTTTCTTAAGGCCGAGCCACAGAACAGTTTTATATTTCAAAGAAATTCCATCATGGTCACAAAATGAAAAGAATAGATACAATAGTTACTTTAATTTTTATCTTATTTCACTATATAAGATACTTAAATATTTTTAGTCAGTAATATCATATAAAATTTAAAAATTATAGAAATGTATCACCAACATTCATGTGCCAAATAAATACTAATTTGATGTTGGTTTTGGTTCTGTACCTGATGGTATATTTAAAATTTTGAATTCTTATTCATTCCCTGACATTGTCATGAAAGGTGAAAGTAGAATTTTTTTAAAGGATATATACAAATCTAGGATATCAATTACTCCTTTTTAGATACTACTTGTACAGCCACACATGTACTTCTTAAGTAATATAATCATCATAAAGTCAATGTTAGTTGGAATACATCAAAAAAAAAAAAGCAAAGAGCTACCAGTTATACAGATGGGCTTGGTTCTTGGTTGTACCTTTGCGACATTAAGTATGGACTATACAGATTTGTTCAGCTAGAAAGCAGGGATTTTTTTCTTAAATCAATTCTTTTTTAATTTCAGTAGATGAACAAACAAGATAGAGTCTACAGGTATCTGAAATGTTGAAGGTACAGAGATGATGTAGTGAGACTGTCAGCCTTGGCTATTCTCTGTGTTAAAGGATCTTAGATGTGGAAAGGAGAGCTGAATGAGCACAATTGGGAGAATAACTAACACAAACAATCATGAATAGTTGTAGCATAGGAAAAATCATGGACACACAAACAGTCTTTTTGATTCTGATCATGGTAAGAATAAAGACCTGAAATTATGATAAGAACTGAAAAAAGACAAAATAATGAAAGAAATTCCATAAAAGTGTGATATTAATTGGCAACTATGACAAAAGATCTATTTCCTTGATGTTAACTAGCTAAAGAAGAAGTAGAAAAAAGGAAGTTTTGTATTTTGTCAATAGCCTTATCTGTTTTCTAGAGAATGCCGTTTAGAATGTTCTTTGCTAGATCTGGAGACATATCAGTACACAGGAGACAGAAACAAAGTTCTTTGTTGTTTGTGTTGGCTTTGTGTTTTGCTTTCTTTTGTGAATTTGAGGCTATCTTGATCTATAGAGTTCCAGGTGAGTTGAGGCTATACAAAGAGACCATATCAATAACAACAACAATCAGGGTTACATCATGAGACCCTTTCAATAATAGGAAATAATGCTACTAAATAATAATGAAAGCAATCTCCTTACCTGATCATTGAGTTTTTGGGTTCTTGTTACTATACAGGAGAAACACTGTGGAATTTAAGATTTTTTTCTCCTCTAGGCTGTGATTCTGTTCCTGCTTTAATTACATGTTTTCTTCTTCCTTATATTTATTTCTTTGATTCATTTTATTTTAAATCAAATTGTTAGGCACTAGATAACCACAGAGTGGCCACAGAAGTCTTAAATATGTGAATAACTATAGAAAAGATAAATATGTTGTACAATTTCAATTAACTCTAACTAAAAACAATAGTCTTCATGTCTTAGGAATTGTATAATGTAGACTTTAGATATGTGAAGTAAACATCCTCAGAATTTTTAAAACAAAAATAAAAGTTTTTATGTTCTAGCAGCATTAGAGAAAGATAAAATAATTGTTTCAGCATTGTCACACACACACACACACACACACACACACACACACATATATATATATATATATATATATATATATATATATATATATATATATTTAAGACTAAGATCATAATAGTATAGGATAGAGAATTAATAAAGAAAACAAGCCTGCTTTGTCTAAAGAAGAAAACAATAGGAACTCAGAAGACAGTCAAAGACACAGATATTTAAAATGGGAGAAAACTAGTGTGGAGAGTGAACTAAGAATGATAGAGAATTAAAACATGAAGCTGCCATCTAGAAAGCTAGAAAATAATGAACCAATCAAAGAAAATTGGAATATCAAAACTAAAAAAACTAAGATAAGAATATATAAACAATAAAACTTTGAATACAAATAAAGGATATCGAAAAGAAATAGTGAACAACTAGAAACTTGATTGGAAAAATTAATGAAATATCAAATTTTTTAAAAGACTGATCATCAAGAAGTGAAAAACTATAATATAAAATGTCAAAGAAGCATGAAAATGAAAATTCCTAAATTAAATGTGATATCTTTGGTTGGTTTTAAGACATCTACTCAAGTCCTTTCTTCATTATCAACCAGGCTTTTTTCCAATGATTTGTTTACCACATGAACAAAGATTTTTTTTTATTATGTATGTTTTTCTCAACCTCTTTTATGTATGTTTAGTAGTTTTTAAAGACCACTTTCCACAGAGATTTTTTTCACATATGCTCTAGAAAATGAGACTAGGGAAATATTTTGGTGTGAGGGTTAAGGAATGCTAGAAATAAGTTGACTTGTATTTCACACTGTATTTTATATATTTACTAACAACTGTCATGAAGACTCATATAATTTTTTTTCTTTAAATGTTTACTGGATTTCATTAATATAGCCATTAAGTCCTGAAATTATCTGAATTGGAAGAATATCTATTATTGCTTTAATTTCCTCACTCATTACTAGCCTGGTCAGAATTTTCTGTTTCTTCACAACTCAGGTTGTATATTTCT